TCTCATCATTCAAGGCCATATTCACATATCAAGGCCATATTTGAAGTGCTTACTTTTCCAGCAAGCCTCTCCTATTACCCTGTCAGAAATGGCCACTTCTCTTTGTGAACTTCCAAGACCCACTCTTCTTCCCTCTGTATCAAGTGCATCTGGTCTTATATGATGTTTGTGTTTATAGTTTATATCTTAGACCAAATTGTGAGCTCTCCAAGGGCTGAAATTAAGGCATTATTTTTTCTTCTATAAATAGTAAGTACTCAATAAACATTATTTGTTACATTGAATTGACTATCACCAAATTTCACTTCTAATTTATTATGATGTGTTTGGTCAGTGACGCTTTTCAGTCAAAAAAAATAAAAACATGAGACGACATCCTTTTAAGTGAAAAGAATAAAAACACTTTCTCCAAGAACTCCCAATTCTGCATTTACTGCTGCCCATCAACAATTCTGTTTAGATGACTTGCAACATATTAATTCATTCACTTAACATTTTTTGGTGAATGTTCTAAGTTTGACACTGTCCTAGGTATTAGAAGGCAAAGATAGATAAGACACTACAAAATAAATAAATAAGATAAAAACAGGATTGTTCCTAAGAACTTTTTTCCCCCCAGTGCTGGGGATGGAAAACAGGCCCTATCTGGGCTATACAAGCACTCTACCACTGAGCTACACCCCCACCCAAAGAGCTTGGGAATTTTATGAAGGAAACAAAACCAGTTATAACACATTATGACAAGTGTAGTGAGGAAGGCCCAAGCAGGTGTTAGGGGAGAATGGATGATGAATGCTGGAGGTAAATTCATGTCTGCAAGACAGTGGCACAGTGGGAAGAACAAGGGGTGGAGCAAGGTCTCAGCTTCCTATCTTCCCTCTGGCCAGTGGTTTAATTTTCCAGAGCCCTCTCTTCTTCTGGAGGCTGTGAATAATAAAGATCTTTTTAGCCAGGCCCACCTGTAATTCCCCAGTGACTCAGGAGGCTAAGGTATGAGGATGGCAAATTCAAGGCCAGCCTCCTCACCTTAGCCAGATTCTTGTCTCAAAATAAAAAATAAAAGGGCTGGGACTATAACTCAGTGGTTGCACACCTCTGGTTCACACACACACATATACACATGACCTAATATATTGTAGAAATTGTTGTAAAGGCAGTTGCACACACCTATAATCCCAGTTGCTCTGGAGGCAGAGGCAAGAGGATCCCAAGTTCAAGGCTAGCCTTAGCAATTTAGTGAGGCCCTAGGTAACTTAGGGAGACCCTGTCTCAAAATAAAATACATAAAGGGCTGGTGTTGTGGCTCAGTGGTAACGCACCTTTGGTTCAGTCCCTAGCACATCACACACACACATACACACACACACACACACACACACACACACACACACACGACTTTATATATTGTAGAAATTACTGTAAATGTTGGGTGCGGTGGTGCATGCCTATAATCCCAGTGGTTCAGGAAGCTGAGGCAGGAGGATTGAGAGTTCAAAGCCAGCCTCAGCAACTTAATGAGGCCCTAAGCAATTCAGTGAGACCCTATCTCAAAATTAGTAATAAAAAGGGCTAGGGACGTGGCTCAGTGCTTAAGTACCCCTTAAGCACTGACTGACTGATTTTAATCCCTGGTACAAAAAAAGAAATTGCTGTAAAGGACAAAAAATGTATTTCTACATAGCATATAACAAAGTTCTTTGAAAATATAATTCTGCTCATGTTTTTCAAAAAGAAAAGAATTAAATAATGTAGAATTTATAAAAGAAACTCTGCATATACTCTACTAGTAAACAAAAGTATACATTTGTATAGCAGTACTCCTGGACCACGCCCTCCTGCCAACTTTCCTGTTGACCTCTAGTTCACTCCAGAGTCCCCTCTCCAAATCATAGTTGCTGGCTTCTTCAACCTTCACAGCACTGACACCAGCCCTGCCCATCTGCCATGTAACATCCTCACGAGCTGGTGGTGGTTCCGGTTCCTCTCCCTCTTATCACAGCCTCATGCAATCCTAGTCATAGCACCTCACACCTGGATAGTTTTTTGACAGAGCCACCTGCTGCTTGTATTCGTGTTCTGTTCTGTTCTTTCTAAAATTCAAGTGTCTATTCCTAAATGATTGCTTTTCATATCATTCCTCTGCACAAATTCAATTTCCCCTTATAGCTGAATACCAAAGTCAAACTTTATTGCTTATTATTTAAGATTTTTATAAAGTAATTTGGCTCTATCTTATTTACCCAAACTTATTTGGTCTCAGCACAAACCAGTAATATTAACTGGTCTGGCTTTCTTCTGTCTCCTGAACAAATATGCACAAACCCAAACACACATAACTTATTCCCTCATTCATTGTGGCCTCTCCTAGTCCTTAAGTGGGTAGGATGGGAAGCAGCAGTCATAGATGGACAAGTAAGGTGCAGTTTTAGCATGGTGGGAGAGGTGCCATTTCCTCATTAGGAATGGCCTCCCACACCATCCATCCTTCAAGACCATGTCAGGGCACGCCTCCTCTGGGAAGTCTTCCCTGATTCACTCATTATTTTATGCACATCTATAGCATATATCCCTAACCCTTCACTCTTTGTATTCCCATAAATCAGTGATTCTCAAAGTTGAGATACAAATGGGTTGGTCCCACCCCCCAGAGATTCTGACTCCCTGAGTCCAGAGAGTTTAACAGGCTCTGATGACAGGGATCTGCAGACTATCACTTGAGTATTACCTTCATTAAGTACTTATACTTCATTTCCTTCCTAAGGTCTTTATGGGCAGAAAATGGGTTTTCCATCTCTTTGTGGATTAGCCCCCCAAAATAGAGAATGCTCTCCAAATTTTACTTTTGCTCGTTCACAGTGCTTTGCCGTCCATATTCTCATTTGTTGCTTACAACAGCCCCACAGGTAAGGAGAAAGCTCATCCTCACAGATTGCTATGAAGATCAAAGTTGCCACTGAGAAAACTGGCTGGCTTAGGCTCAGGTTAGGAGTCACAGAGTAATCCAGAGCTGCTTTACTGAGGAATCCCTGGCACAGCTCCTTGGGCTGGTGTGACTGACTCCCAGCCCACTTTTGTAGCTTCTAGCAAGGAGCAGGAAGGATCTGACAAGCTTGAGCAATTACTCTCTGCCAAGAGCTGGACTGGGGGATGTATACATTGACTCTGGAGACCAGGGAAGTATAGTAACTGGTCCCCCAGTTTCACACCTGTAAAATATGGAGGGTCAAGTTTTCATGCCTCATTGTGTAGCATATCATAGAAGTGGAAGAAGTGGTCAGGCCAGTTAAGGAGAAAGTGAGGCAATATTTTCTGGAGGTCAAATATGTGTCCAGATACATTGTTCTAGGTGTTTCTATCTACAGTCTCATTTAATCCTCACAATCATCTTGCAAAAGAAATCTCATTTCACTTATTTTAAAGACAAGCCATTGGCCTCAGTGAGGTTATATAATTTGTCCAGGGCCATGTAGCTGGGAAAAAGGAAAGCTGTGGGTAGTAGATAGAGCGGGGATTCCTTGTCTATCTGACCCCAAACCTCTTGTTGGTTCAGCAGCATAGCCTGCTCCATGCTCCACATGCCTCCTGCTTCCTGACAATGCCTAGCATTTTGTTTGTTTATGCTTTTAGGGCCTAGATTTAGGCACTATCCTGGTCTCCACTCACAGATTTGAGACTACTTCTGGAGAAGTTTTGGTGCATAGGAAAGGGTGGGACGGGGGGGTAAATGGGGGAGACCAGAATCTTGAATTCTGGAAGGTAGGACTGTTGGCACAGACTTAGGAAGGCTGGCTTCTGTCAAGTATTTGGAAGGTGAGGGTCCACAGTGCTCCTAGGTCCAGCATCTGAGTTCAGGGAAGCATGGCTGTCTCTTCCCTCAACCCACACCCACCTTTCCACACCCACCATGGATAGGCTTCCCAGACATGGACATGACACAGATCCAGGGGTAGCTCACAAAGATGTGCGGGATCAGATTCAAGGTGACACACACACCAGCATATGCAGAACCATATCAATGTCCGTGTCCAGACTCATTCACCCACAGAGGAGGCAGATGTACTCAGAGGTCAGCCAGGCACCCCAAGTGGAGAGCTGCTCAAGCCCACACTACCATGGCATGCACACTGGCTGGAAGGGCACAACCTCCACCAGCTACCTTGGAGGTACCTTGGCAATTTTCAGTTGGAATGGGGATGGGGACAGTGGGCAGTGTTTTCTCCATCATTGCCATGCCCCTCTTCTGTGAAAGAAAACCTCTTTGAACGGGCTATGACTCCTTTTCTACCAGTTGTCCTTTCTCCAAAGCTCAGTTGAGCTCCCCTCTGGCCTGTGCTTAGAGGCTTGGGGTGGGGGAGGGGATGGAGTGCAGAGAGGAAAGAGAGTAGGATGGGGGAAGGGGACGGATGAAGGGGAGAAGGAAGGGACCCGGGGCAGGCAGGGGCCTGTTGGGGCTTCTAGGCTACTAGGTCAGGAGGGCCCTTCTTTGCTGCTTTTGTGGCAACCCAGACCATGGGAGGAAGGGGCTGATCCAACTAGTGCCAGGATTCCTTGGTCCTCAAGGAAATGAAGGTCAGGGCCTGGAATTCCTGGGAATGCCAGGGGAGAGGAGGGTAGAGTGGCCAGCAGCCACAGTGGTGGAATTTGGAGACTCCTCCGACAGCGCCAGAGGGGGCTGACACCTGTTATAGCGTCCTTGTGGCCTGGCCCCTTCCCTCACTGACATGCTTCTTTTGCCCCCAAATTCTTCCTGAGGGGTCATGTGTATGACTGCGAGTGAGGGAAGGGCAGTCAGCCCAGGGGTTCTGGGATGCCAGAGGGGGCAAAGAAGGCAGGAAAGGGGGGCACTCGGGATGACTTCTGCCAACAAGATCCCAGAGGAATGGTTTGGAAAGGGGTCCCTCCTCCTGAAGGACCAGCCCATCTTAGCAGGGGACAGCCTGCTGCATTCCCGCCCGCCTGCTGTGCAGCAAGGAGGGCTGCCGCCAGCCCGATCACCTTACCGTTTGTGGGGGGCTTCCCACTGTCATCTCCACATAGTAGCCCTGGCCCGACTTGCCCCTCAGGTTGTCCACCATCTCCACAAAACTGCCCCTCCGGCCAGGCTCCTCTGGTTCCTCGTAGGTTTCCCGGGGCAGCCGCAGCCCCAGGGGGGCCCCTGCCAGGCCGCTGCGCAGGGGCAGCCGGATGCCAAGCTGGGTGCCATGAGCAGGCAGCACCCCGGAGCCCACCCACAGCAGGAGCCAGGGCAGGGTTGGGGCCATGGTGGGCCCGAACCTCCTGGGCTCCCTCAGGCCCACGTCTGTCCAAGTTGCCTGCTCCCAAATCTGGGTGGTGGCGGTGGCTTCTCTCAGGAGAGGGGGCTTGGAGGCATCAGGACTCCAGTGCCTGCAGGCCTCTCAACCAGTCCCCTGGTCCAGGCGATGGTCGGCGAGCAGGAGAAATCTGCAGAGCACGAGAGGGGAACGACTGGGCTCCAGGACCCAGCTACATCTGGACGGCGGCAGCCAGCCTCAGCAGTGGGCTTGGGCCCCTCAGGGGGCTGGGAGGGGCGGGCATGGCAGGTTGGCGCCGGCTGCTGTCCTGGTCCTTCTGGTGAAGTCGGCGGTGTTGGAAGGGGCAGGGGCTCCGGACTCCTGCACTGCGTTAGCTGCTCAGGCCACCATAATCCAGCTCCTAGCTCCCAGCCCCTAGGCAGGCTGGAGAGGCGGAAAGACTTGTGGCGGCGGCTGTCAAAGCCAAAGGGTTTTCGCTTTTCCCTGGGATCGCTGGGAAGTGTAGTCTTTCCATGGCAGGCAGCCCAGCTTCCGGAGCTGGAAAGGGGTCTGGTATGCCCTCTGCCGAGGTGGAGTACACCTTGCAGCACCCTGGGGGAGGGGGGGAAGAGTTTCCCCAGCCCTGGCAGGGCGGGCAGGGCGGGCAGGGCGATGCAGATACAGTAATGGCATACCTCTCATTTGTCATTACTTATTTCAGCATTGATTGATCACCCACTGTATGCCAACCACACTGCCAGGTTACTGGTGCTACAAAGTAAAATGAATGCACACTACATTCTGTCCATTGGGCAGAATTTAGTGATTCCTGCCACAGGGGGGTTACAAACAAAGGATGTGGCATTAAGGAGTAGGACTTTAGGGGACATCTAAGGGAACTGGAAAGATTCAATGGAAGAAGATAGTATTTAATTTGAGCTTTAAAAATGGGTAGTGGGGGCTGTGGTTGAGTCTCAGTGGTAGAGCACTTGCCTAACATGTGCAAGGCCCTGGATTCGATCCTCAGCACCACATAAAAATAAATAAATAAAATAAAGGTATTGTGTCTAACTACAACTAAAAAATAATACTATGCATTTTTTAAAAAATGCATAGTATTTCTAGAACAGAGACTAGGGGTACAAGATTAAAGGAATGGAGGGGTGGTGCTAGGCAGCAAACCACACAAGAAGGGTTCAAGGGGAATGAAGAGTGTCTGTTTTCACTAGAGTCTGCAATCACCTGGCAATTAAGAGCTAGTCAGGTCTTCTCTATCTGAATCTGTAACTTTGATGCTCTTGGGGTACAAATCCTTATGATCCCCTGATTCATGCACTGTCAGCCAGTTAGGCTGAGGATGAATGGCTGAAGAGACCTTTGAAGTGTTATAACTCCAAGAAGCATCAACATATTAATTGCTAAGTGTTTAAAACAAAGAGCTGTAGGGCTCTAATTACTTAAAATAGAAATGATATATGATTATGTCATCATGATATTTATCAGAAGTAAAAAGCCCTTGTTAAAATTCACTAGTCATTCTGATGAAAAGAAAAAAAAACTAAAGGGAAACTTTTAATAAGATAACAAATGGTTTGGGGTGTGACTCAGTGGCTCTGGGGTGGAGTGCTTGGCACGTGTGGGGCCCTGGGTTCAATCTCAACCCTGGAAGGGGAGGGGCATAAAGATAGTGAAAAATCATAGAAAACCTATTGTTATAGGCTAAAGTTATTCTCATAGAAGTCAGGCTTAGGAAAAGAAAGGTCATTATCACCATTCTTATTCCACAGAGTCTAGGTTGGTTTGGCCAATTCAATAAGATAAGAAAATTGAACAAGTGGTATAAATGCTGGAAAATAAAGGAATCATTATCTGCAGATTAGAAGATATGATGAAGAATACTAAACAATAAGGTGATTAGACACATAAAAATCGTAAAGGCTGAAGGCATGGCTCAGTGGTAGAGTGCTTGTCAGGCATGCATGAGTATCTGTTTTTGATTTTGAGCACCAGAGAAAAAAATAAAATCAATAGACCAGCGAATGTATGGGGATTGTATATAAATAAAGATGAAATTAATATCAGAGGAAAAAGGATGCATTATTCAATAACTGTTGTTGTGACAATTGGTAATCCACTTGGAAGGAAAGAAAATAAAATCCATGTCTCATCTAAAAATAAATACCTGGAGATCAAAAAGCTTTATATAATAAATAGAAATAAGGAAGAAATAGAAAAATATTTTCATAATCTTAGGTTGAAGATAGCCTCTCTAACAAAACTAAGGGAAAAAAATGAATAGGTTTGACTACTTAAATATTTAAAACTTCTGTACAATCAGAAGCCCTTCAATACTGTTAGTATTCCAATTCTGGTTCTTCTATTTAGTAACCAGAAGACCACAGGCTTGTTAACCTTTCTGTGCTCAATTTTATCATTTGTAAAAGGAGATAATGATAGTACAAACCTCTTAAAGTAAGAAATCAATGAGATAATCCATGTAAAGCTTGGAGAATGGTGTCTGGCATGCTCCTTAATAAAGGCTAGCTATTAGCAGTTTTACTACTATAACTACTCAGAAAGTGACATTTGCAAAGTTAAAAGATAAGCTACACATTAGGAAACATTTGCTATAAACAGGGGGACAAAGGGTTAATTACAATACACAAAGAGCTTCCACAAATCAATAAACCCCCCAAACAATGTGATAGAAAAATGAACAGAGGGTGTGAAAGGTAATTCATAGAAGAGATTAAAATGGCAAGTAACATGAAAAAAGTTTGACTTTATTAATATTGTAAAAACACAAAACATTATTTAAGTACCATTTTCTTCCCTCCCTCTCAGATTGGCAATGTGTTGGTGCTAGTGAAACTCAGTTTTTTTCCTGAATTTTGTTAGAGAGGCTATCTTCAACATAAGATTATGAAAATATTTTTCTATTTCTTCCTTATTTCTATTTATTATATAAATTACTGCATTTTTTGGAGGGTAATTTGGCAATGCTTATTAAAATGTAAAAAATAGGAACTCTTTGAGCATTATTATTTCTAGGATTCTAGTCCACAAAACAGGAATTTCAGCAGTGTGTACAATATCAAGACGTTGGAAACAAAGTAAATGATCATCAATAGGAGACCAAAAGAGGTGACTTTTATTCAATGACATCCTTAACAACCATTAAAAACAATGGCATATGTGGCAGGGTGGCACATGCCTGTAATTCTAGTTCCTTGGGAGGTTAAAGCAAAATGTTCACAAGTTTGAGGTCAGCTGGGCAGTTTATCAAGACCTTGTCTTGAAATAAATAATAAAAAGGGCTGGAGGTGTAGCTCAGCGGTAGAGTGCCAGCTTGGGCAACCTAACAAGACACTGCCTCTGAAAAAAGAAAAGTGAGGCTAGGCATGGTAGCACATGACTGTAATCCCAGCGGTAAGGAGGCTGAAACAGGAGGATCTTGAGTTCAAAGCTAGACTCAGCAATGGTGAGGCTCTAAGCAACTCAATGAGACCCTGTCTCTATATAAAATACAAAATAGGGCTGGGGATGTGGCTCAGTGGTGGAGTACCCCTGAGTTCAATCCCCGATACACCCCACACTCCAAAAAAAAAAAAAGTGGTAGGATTAATGAGTGTTTTCCTTTCTTTTCATGTTGAATGTCTTTTGTGAAGTCCAAATAAACAGTAAAAAAGACAGATAGAGAGGAAAAAAAAAAGCTCTAACAGTGGAATTTCTGATGTGGGATTAGGGAACAAATTGTGAGACTCATCCCCTCATCTTTAAAAAACACCTCTAAATGCTCATCTCTGACCTACAATGAAGGAAATTCTCTCTTCTTCACTGATTTAGTATATTACTGATATCCCTATTGCTGTGTCATTTTTACTATCCTTCCACCCCCCAAAGACTTGCTTCTTTTCTGGGTTTGGTGGCATAGGCCTATAATCCCAGTAACTCCAAAGATGGTGTCAGGAGGATCACAAGTTTGAGGCCAACCTCAGCAACTTAGTAGATCCTGTCTCAAAATAAAAAGCAAGAAGGGCTGAGGATGTAGCTCAGTACCAGTGTACCCTTGGGATCAATCCTCAGTACCACAAAACAAAAACAAAGACAACTTTCTTAATTATATTTGCCTAAGGGCATTTGATAAATTGGTTTGCATTTCTGAGTACAAACTTGTAGGAAAACCTGATAAAATGAATATGATACCCACAGAATCCCTTATTTTATTAGCTCTTCCCATGAGTTGGGAACCCAGATTAAGGTACCAAAGTGTTTTTTTTTTTTTTTGATACCAGAAATTGACTTAGAAGTGCTTAGCTACCAAGCCCCATCCTCAGCTCTTTTTCTATTTTTTAAAATTTGACACAGAGTCTCACTAAGTTGCCTGGGGTCTTGCTAAATTTGTTGAGGCTGGCTTTGAACTTGTGATGCTCCTGCCTCACCTTCCCCAGTTGAGATTATAGGCATGTGCCACTGTGCCTGGCAAAATTTAAAGTGAAGTATTTTGATGACAATCAAAATCAGCTAGATTGATTGTAAGTTCATGCATATAGGGAACTAGAAATGGTGTTTTGAATCCTTGTTTTGTGCATGTCTGTGGTGAGTTAGTTGATGAGCCTTAGAGGTTCTTCCCAGGCTAGTCCCTTTGGCCCCTCAGTAAGACTTTTTTTTTTTTTTTAATATTCTTTTAGTTGTAGATGGACATGATACCTTTATTTTACTTATTTATTTTATGTGGTGCTGAGGATTGTATCCAGTGCCTCACATGTGCCAGGCAATGCTCTGCCACTGAGCCACAACCCCAACCCCCTCAGTAAGACTTTTAAGGTGTGTGGAAAGGAAGAGAACCAATGCTTTTTCATCTGCAGTGAGGAAAAAGGAAATTAAATATGAGAAATATATTCCAACTGTCTAGTTTGGGATCTATAGGAACAACTATCCAAGTTCTTTACTGTGGACTAAGTGGTGCAGGGACTAGTTTCAAGAGATAGGAGGAACCAGATACATCTCTAGAATGTCCTCATCATCTCCTCTTCACCTCATAATGTCTCTACTTTATGTTCTTGTTTTTCTATTGAAAGAATGACCAGAGCTGCTTTTGTACCTCTTAACTTCTCTAAGATAGACTACATAGAGAGAAAGGAATATTTGCCCTCCATGTAAGTAAAACTAATTATATTAGTAGTGATTCTTCTGCCAGATAGTGAGTTTGCAGAGTCTACATATTGTGTCCCTTTTTTTCCATCTTCAGCAGACTCTTCAAAATAATTGCCACAATTATTATTATCACCATCTTGCAGATATGTAAACTGAATCCTGTCCTCCGGCAAAAAATGGATGATAGAAACTAGGTTTTT